GCATAGAAAGAAAGAGCATTTTTTTCTCTATCATCCTGTGTAAAAAGAAACTTTTATCAAGCTTACTAAGTGGTACTAAAATGTCGTTGCCACTACTTTTGGATACCCCTAAGTATATGGTGTCAGTGAAAAGACTTCTCTAGTCGAGAGCTGAATAGTGTGGCTTTTCATTCAGGTGTCCTTTCATAGAAAAATGACTTAACCGACAGGTACATCGGTCATTTATTTTAGGTACTTGGTAAAGGAGCAAGAGCTGAAGAACTTCGGTCACTGCTAAAAGATGGGATCACAATCGCCAATGAATTATTGGACTTATCGAAAAACACTATGTCTAACAAGACCACAGCAGTACAGACGATCCTTGGCCGGATACATACTTTGCTCAATAAAGTGAATCCCTTAGCTGCGTTGATGCCACCAGCCACCAACAGCGGTCAAACAAGAGCACAGAAAGCGAAATCGTCAGACAGTAATGAAAAATTTGTTGCTGAAATGGCACTAGTAGATCTCCAAGACCTTCGAGCTCGAGAAAAAGCATATTATACACAATGGCGCACAAAAGAAGATCAATTGACTGCCCTTCTCGTAAAGATAGCTAGTCTCGATCTCACGACCATTAATTATCAGCAGCTTATTGACTTGATGTCTGATGCACTAAATTTATTGGGTGAAGTAAGTGTTTCGCACATTTAACAGTGTGATATGTACACTCGGTCCAAAAAATAATTTCTTCATCTATTTATGTGTCATTACTTCCTACAACATCTGTTTTGTTTCCTCCTCTTTTCTATACGAAATAGTGCAATCACGTCGAATTTTATTATGAAAAATTATTTTGTACAATTTCGAAGAATTACCTATTTTCAATCAATAATCAATAATATGAAAATATTTCGATGAATGTATTCTAGTTTAAATAATTCGATAAAGTCAATTAATAAAGGAAGCTATTGAAATAAACTACTTTCAAACTTTTGTACAGATAACAGGAATAAACAAGAAAGATGTTGTAGGAAGTGATAGTATATCAACTAGATAGGGTGTGCTACATATTTGATACATAAGCAAATTCTTTAATCTGCTTGGTTCATGCATATCACAAGAAATAGAATGACCTCACATAAGCGGAGATAACGTTTTTCGAACCGACTGCAAGTGATTATTAGTATATCGCAAATTAGTTTTCTATGAATTTTTAGGTTAGTGAAAGATGGAGCAAACTCACACAATTCTTTGCTACGCTCGCTGGTCGTGCTGAGATAATTTCAAATGCAATGCTTCCTCAACTCATTGAGCATTTCAAGGAAGCTGGTGCAAGTGAGCTACGGCCTAATGAAAGATCGTGGTATTTTGACTCACTAAAAAAGGCGACAAAGGGCATCAAGTTACAATCGTATATATTGTTCATCATGTCTCGTACGTATACTGATATGTCTAACAAGTTTCTTCTTCCACGATTGGCTGGACTTGCGAAACTTCTATCACCAAAAAACGACACGATGCGAATAAAGATGGGAAAAGAGCTCGATAAGGCCTCCAAAAAGGCGCAAACAGAAGTTCAGGCGTATATTACTAAACGTCACAACGCTTATGTAAAAGCAGTACGTCAACTAGAGATAGAAAATACTAAGCTTGTAACTAAATTGGGTGGTTCATCGAAGGAAAATCAAGCTGCTATTGCAGAAGGCAAAAAACGACAACAACAGGTTGGCTGGTTTACTTAATTCGCGGAACAGACAGTTTGTTTCAGCTTATTGTCTAACCCTACTTGTGACGATATCACATCCCGCGACTTCTAAAAACGTACTTCAAGCCTATCTGCTGCTTCGCTAACAATGTATTTTAAACTTGAATATTTTTTTAACCCTTTACCCCCGACCCCCACAGTAGTTCCAGAAGCGCTAGCAATGAAATTACCCCTGAAATAAAGTATTGGTGCCTCCAATATGCCAAAAGTATGAACAAATCAAAGAAATGCTTTTTTTATTTTTAGGGCATTTTCCTGAGGGGGGTAGGGGGAAAATTTTGACCAATTCTCAGAAGCATTCAACAAAACTGATGTATCTCAGTGAAGAAACGTCGTGGAGAGCTCAGGAACGTTTCATTTCATAGAAAAATGTTTGCTCTATAATTCTTTATGATTGATACAATTGTTCCATTGATTCGTGGATATTTAAGAGCCAGGACGTTACTATGATCGACGATTTCGAAAAACGACTATTGTGTTGTAAAAGTAATTTTCTATTTCTAAGCAATAAATCGTCCGGCGACCTACTGCGTGATACATGTAGAAAAAGGTGTTCACTAGTGATATGTTTAGTTTCCAGAATTTTCAGAAAAGTTTAGGAGGTCGACATATGGTAAAATATGCAATAGTCACTAGGAGGTTTCTACAATAGTAACGTCCTGGCTCTTAA